CATGACATGTTGGAGAAAACTTTTTCCACCATGCATATGTCAAATGTGATATTGCAGCAACAATACAGAGAAAGGGGCTTTAAAAAGTATTCTGAGTTAATCTCAGTATTACTTGTTGCTGAGCAGAATAATGAGCTGTTGATGAAAAATCACAACATGAGGCCCACCGGTTGTACCCCTACAAATTTTGGCAATCCGGATCGTGGTTCAGCACCAGAATCAAATGTTATCCAAGGTGGTGCTCGCGGACACTTTAAACGTGGACGCGGAAATAACCGCAACAAAGGGCCGAACAGGGGCTATAAAAATCCAAATGGATCATCCTGCAAAGGAAAAGGAAAATTCAAACCACCACAGGCTAAAACTTATGAAAAGCCAAAACCAAGTGGTGAATGCTACAAATGTGGCATAAAAGGACACTGGGCGAATGAATGTCGAACGACAAAACATTTGGTTAAATTATACCAGGCTTCCACAAAAGAAAAAGGGGAAAATGTGGAAGCTAATTATGCTGATGATATCAATCCAATTTTGCCTAAATTTGACGTGTCCGATTTCTACATGGATGATGCTGAAATTGGTGATGAAGTGACCTTTGGTGGAACTACTACTATTTAAACATTTTCATTTACTCTGTTATGGTGTGTTTACTTTTTAAATAAATGTTGGAAATTTGTATTTTATTTTCATGTGTGCTTGTATTATTATGTCTCTTCTAAAAAAATAATGATAATAAAATGTATGATATTTGTGTTAATTATCTTTAACTTATAATTATTTATATATTTATTTGTATTCAAGATATGAAGATAACTGCTTATGGCTCCAGTGGCAAAGAACAATGTCTAATTGACAGTGCCACAACGCACACCATTTTGAGAAACAAAGAATATTTTTCTCAAATGACATTGATGGAAACTAATGTCAATACAATATCTGGTGTTGCAAAGCTCATTGAAGGGTCTGGAATGGCTTGTTTAATCCTTCCCCAATGAACAAAATTAATTATCAAAGACGCATTATATTCCAGCAAATCCCGAAGAAATTTATTGAGCTTTAAGGATATGCGTCAAAATGGTTATCACATTGAAACCATGACAGAAAATAAAAAGGAATACTTGTGTCTAACGACAACCAAATCTGGCAATAAAATTCTTTGTGAAAAGATGCCAGCGTATTCCTCGGGGCTATAT